AATTCAGCAGCAGTAGTTCCAACAGCACTAGCAGCAGCTCCTCTTCTCCCAGCTGCAGTAGCAGCTCAAGCACCTCAAGCAGCAGCTTGACCTCCAGTCGCAGCTCCCCCCCCCCTCACATATCCCCCCCCTCCTCTCCGCCCTTCTAATCCAACCATTGCCCCCCTCCCCCCTGACCCAACCTGCTCCTGTCGATCTTTCTCCCATCCCACCGTCCTCCTCTACCACAGGCTTGGTCATCTCAACTTCGCCACCCTCCGCTCGACCGTCTTCCCAGGTCTCCTTCGAGGTCTCCCCCTCACCCTCCCTCCCCTCCCTCCCTCCCCTGCCCCTCCTTGCTTCGTCTGTGTTCAGAGCAAGCTCAAGCAACTGCCGCATCAGAGTTCCTCCTCCGTAGCCGCTTGATCTTGTTCACATGGACCTCTGAGGCCCCAACCCCTCCCCTTCCTGTCAGGGTCATCGCTAGACATGAGCACGAGGCGAGGCGAAGAATCCTCATCGAGGAATTCCAACCATCGCCCCCACAACAAGGCGAGGCGAGGATTCCTCGCCGAGGATTTTTGGGGAAAATAGATCATCGATCCTCGGATTTTGGAGGCGAGGAATTTTCCCTGGCTCCGAGGAAAAATTCCTCGACTCGAGGGGAGGATTCCTCGCCTCGAGTGGGGTGTTTCTATAAGTTTGGGGCATATGTGCACGGAACGAGCTACCCGTCGTTGTGTTTTAAACGTCACGACAAATTGCGAGCATCCCATTTTTCTGCACATCGCCAGTTCGACATTGAGTATGGAGCTCTATAAACTCCAAATTCTCCCCACCCCACCGCATTCAATCTCACAGTACCTCCCTAGCCCCAACCCAACCAATATGACATTGCTATGAAATTTGGGATTCAAACCAAACCCAAAATAAACCACTGCTACCGCATTCAATCTCACATCACCTCCCTAACCCAATCTAACCAGCTCGACATTGTCAAGTTTGGACTCCAAACCCAAAAGCCCCCCCCTCTCACCGCATTCAATCTCTCATCACCTCCCTAACCCAACCTTTTTGCTCTACGATCACTCACCAAAAATTCGTAGAGCTGAGGGGGAGCTCCAGTCTGTAGATCGTAATTCCCCCACTTAGTTCTCGCGCCATTGTTCGAACTAACCAACATCTGTGTAGAAAAAGTGGCGCAATTATTTTTTCCTCACGAGGGCAAAATTCCTTGCGAGGAAATACAATCGTCGAATCCTCGGGGAGGCGAGGCGAGGATTCCTCGCCGAGGATTTTCCTGGAAAATCATTCCTCGAATCACAAAATTCAGAGGCGAGGAATTCCTCGCCTCGTTGCTCATGTCTAGTCATCCCTACATGCTTGTTCTGGTCGATGATCACAGCCGATATTCTTCCGTCTCCCTTCTTCAGTCGAAGGGTGACGCTCCGGCTCCGTTCATCGCCTGGCTCAAGTAGGCGAGTACCCACTATGGCCGCCCTGTGAGCCGCCTTCACTCTGATGGCGGTGGCGAATTCTTTAACCACCAGGTAGCCTCCTACTATGAGCTTCATGGCATTCGCCAGACTCGCACCCTCCCCCACTCCCCCCAGCAGAACGGTGTGGCCGAGAGCTGTGTCCGGGAGATCACCAAGATTGCTCGATGTCTTCTTGGTCATGCCTCTTCCCCCCCTTTTTCTGTGGGGCTATGCTCTCCTTCACACCACCCTCCTCACTAACCTGTACCCCCACCCCATCCTTCCCTCCACCACTCCCACCAAGCTCTGGACGTCGACCAAGCCTGACGTCTCTTCCCTCCGTGTGTGGGGCTCCAGGGCGTATGTCCTCATTCACCCTGCGGACCGCCGCCCCACCATGGGAAACCTCGCCTCCCATACCCTTCCTTGCATCTTCCTTGGTCATAATCCCTCCTCCCCGGACTACCTCTTCCTTCACCCCCCCTCAGGTCGTTTCCTCCGCAGTCGGGATGTGGTATTTGATGAGTCCACACCCTACTATTCCACTCCTCCCCCCACTAACCCCCTTGCCCCGGCTCCCAAGCCCCTAGTCCGACACTATCCCACCCCCTCTTCTCCCTCCCCCTCCCATCCTCCCCCCGCCTCCACCTCCGCCACTTCCCGCTGTCTCGGTCCCCAGTGCCCCTCCCTCCTCTGGTGACATATTTGACCCTACCTGACCCTCTCTTCCCCCCCGCCTCCCCGTCCCACTCCTGCCTTTTCGCTCTCTCCCGTCCTTCTCCCTCTCTTCCTCCTCCCTCCCCCATGTCCCCCTCCGCCCCTGCGCCCCGCCCGCCCCATCATCACCCGGTATCCCCACACCAGGTCGAGTGACGCAGTCCTAGGTGCTCCGCCTCCTGTTACCCTCTCTTCCTCTACCTTGCATCCTCTCTCCCCTCTCATGGACCTCCTCTTTCAGGATATCTTACAACAAAACACCAGCCCAACCCTGTCGTCGAGCTCCAATGCAGCAGCTGCAGAAGCAGGCGTACCCACCGCAACAGCAGCAGCAGCAGCAGCCGTCGCCCCTTCCTCACCTTCACCCGCAACAGCAACAGCAGCAGCATATGCAGAAGTACCAGCCGCCACGTACGAGGAGGCCATGACGTGCCCTGGCGCCCACCTCTGGCTTGCGGCCATCTTCAAGGAGTTGGAGGCATTTATTGATGATTCCTTCTTTGTGTATGTGCCCCGTCCTCCCTCTACCACGAACGTAGTAAAAGGGAAGTGGGTGTTTCGGGTGAAGCAGCTGCCTGGCGAACCGCCGGTCTACAAGGCCCGCTACGTCGCCAACGGCTTCACCCAGCGCTATTCTGTCGACTTCGTCGACACCTTCTCTCCCACCGCCAAGCCTGCTACCATCCGCGCAGTGCGCGACCTTGCCGCTCGCCTCAAAATGGAGATTCACTCCATGGACGTCTTCAACGCTTTCCTCCAGGCGTCTTGCGCGAGCTCATTTACATGGAACGTCCTGCAAGCTTCCACCTCCCATTTCCTTCCGACTCTGTCTATCAGTTGCATCGCCCGGTCTACAGTCTCAAGCAGACACCAAAGGAATGGCATGCCAAGCTTGCTGCCACCATTGCTGAGCTGGGCTTCAGCACCTCCCGCGCCGACCCCAGCCTCTTCCTCCGCACCTCTCCCTCCCCCTTCTACATCCTCATCTATGTGGACGATATAATCCTCATCACTGCCGACTCCCCCGAGCTCGAGCGAGTCAAGCGTGAGCTTAGCAGCCAGCTCAAGTGCAAGGATCTGGACGAGCTGCAGCACTATCTTGGCATGGAGATTACACGCGACCGTGCAGCTCGCACCATCTCCCTCTCCCAAGGCCACTACCTGCAGCAGGTCCTGGAGCAATTCGACTTCGACATGGCTCGAGGCAGCCCTTAGGTCACCCCTCTTCCTGTTGGGCACCACCTCACTCCCCTCATCTCCCCCTCCTCCTCCTCCCACTCCTGCGCTGAGCTCATCGGCTCTCTCATTTATGCCATGGTCTCTATCCGCCCTGACCTGGCATACCCCATCAGCGTCTTGGCCCGCTTCGTTGGTACTGGCAAGCATGATGCCGTCTACTGGCAAGCGGCGAAACGTGTCCTTTGCTACCTTCGGGGGACCAAGGACTATGTCCTTACCCTTGGCGGACCCTCCTCTCCCCTCCTTACTGGCTGCTCTGATTCCTCCTGGGCTGACTCTCGACCTGATCGCTGCTCCTCTCAGGGCTATGGCTTCTCTTTTGGCAGTGGCCTCATCAGCTGGCGCTCCACCCGCTCTTCCTCCATTGCCCTTTCCTCCTGCGAAGCGGAGCTGTATGCCGCCACCATGGCCGTGCAAGAGGCCCGCTGGCTCACATTCCTTCTTGAGGAGCTTGGTGCAGACATGGGCAGCATGCTGAGCCTGGCTTGACTCGGCTCGACTCGACCACGAGCCAAGTAAAAGTCGAGCCGAGCCGGCCCGACTCGACCCGAGCCGGCTGCCCGAAAATGGCTGGCTTGACTCGGGGTTTGAGGGTTGAGCCAAGGGCCGGCTCGACTTTGGCTCGGCTCGGCTCGGCTCGGCTCGGCTCAACAGAGTAGTGATGGTTAGCGTTCTTGACTAGAGTAGAAATTGGGTGTTTGGCGGACCTAGAAAATCTAGTTCCTTCACACCTGACGTATTTCAGGCGGTCGCTGGCATTCCAGCTGTCCTTCATGTAGAGCCACGTGGCGGGCGGCTGCTCGTCGTTGACGTCGTTCACCCACGGGATGGGCAGCACCTCCTTGCCCAGCGAGATGTCTTCCCGCGGGTACCTGCACCTGACGCTCTCCCGCCCCCCGCCCCTCCTTCTCCCTCCAACCCCACGCCCCCTGCTGCCTCTCCCCCTTGACCCGCTGCCTCCACTCGCGCCTGATCCCACACCTCTACCCACAGGCACGCTCGCAGCAGCAGCAGGGGAGGCATGGGCGTCGCCGCTGCTTCCACTGGCGGCGTTGAGCACGGGGTGCGACTGCGCGTTGTCGTGCGAAGAGGGGGCCGCGCCAGCACTGCCTGCATCCGCCACACTGGGCGCCCTCACACTGCCCTCGGCGATCTCCCCCCCCCCCCGGAGCCCCCTTCACCAGCCTTCCCCTGCACAGCATCCTTCTCGCCCCCTTGCTCATTCTGCTCCCTCCTACCTTGAAACCCCCCTTTATGCCCCTGCCCATGCCCATGCCCATGCCCATGCCCATGCCCATGCCCATGCCCACGCCCCATGGCAGCACAATGACCGGGCTTATCCCCTCGCACATGCAGGTGCCCACGCCCATGCCCATGCATTCCCCTGTCTGCACCCGTGTGCCCCCTGCCCCTCCCCTCGCCCGCTCTCAGCAGCAGCCCACTCGCCAGCCCACTTTGCCCAATCATGGTGCTTCCTGCCCTCCCCACCGGCTCTGCCAAATCCCTCGCTGCCTCCCCCTCCCCCCACCAGCTCCTCCCCCTTCCCCCTCCCCGCCCCCCTCGTTCCACCCCCTTCGCTGCACACCCTTCACTTGCTCTCCAAACCCCCCCACTCGCGCCGCCACAGCGCATTCCAGGAACGGCAGATGGCTCTCGTTCTGGGTGCGACCGTGATGGCGGCTCACACGGATGGCGGCACTCACACGGATGGGGACGCTCACACGGATGGGAGCGCTCACACGGACGGTCACGCCACAACCCTTCTCCCCGCCCCTCTTCCCCATGCAAACCCTGTACTGGCTCTTCCCTCTGCCCTGCGACAGTGCCTGCCCCTCCTCCCCACCCGTCACCCTTTGTTCCACCAACCGTCCACTCCTCATCTCTCCCCCTACCCCTCTGGCCCCCACTGCGGCCCGCCACACTGCGACCCGCCACACTGCACCCTGCCACACTGCGCCTCCTCAGTCGGGCCATCTCCCTCTCTCTCCCCCTCCGCTCCACGTCCCTCTTCTTCTCACTCTCCCTCTCACCTTCGTGTCCCAACCCCATGCCTGCATATCCTCCCTCTCCTCCCTCTCCTCCTCCTCCGTCCCCCCCTTCTCCCCGAGCCTCTCCTTCCAAACCTCTTGCCCCCGTCTCGGCTCCTTCCCACGCCCACATCGCAGGCATCTCCCCTCTTCTCTCCACCAACCAGTGCCCTCCCTCACTCCCACCCCTTCCTTCACACGCACCCCCCCCTACGCGCCCACGCCCACCCTCTCCCCCAGAACCACCACCCCCAGCACCAACCCCCCCAGCACAACCCCCCCCAGCACCACCATCCACAGCAGCAGCAAAGGGAGCAACGCGGGTGGAGGGGACGGACTCGGTTGTGGGAGCTTGGCTCAGGGGATGAGCGGGTGGGGCGCCGGGCTGAGAGAGGGGAGGGGGATGCTGAGAAGAGGAGGGGGGAGGCTGAGAGTGGAGATCGAGAGGCTGAGAGGAGGGAGTGCGGGGCTGAGGGGACGGTGGAAGGAGTTGATGGAAGGGAGGGGGGACTTGAGGGGAGAGGGGGGTAGGCTGAGAGGGGGGAAGAGGAGGCTGAGAGGAGGGAAGAGGAGGCTGAGAGGAGGGAAGGGGAGGCTGAGAGGGGGGGAGGGAAGGCGTAAGGTTGAGAGGGGCAGGAGAGGCGGCACCTGTAGTCGAAGTGAAGGAGTGGAGAGGTGGGAACGGAAGGAACATGCGGATTAAGGATGGTGCAGAAGGAAGGGGTGAGAATGGTGGCATTGCAATGAGGCGGAAGCGGCAGCGGGTCACTCAGAGTCAGAGGGTGAACGCCACCCCTCTCTTCAGCCCCACCTGTACACAGGCTCTTCCTCCCATCGCTTCCAACCATCCCGAGAAAGTCTCACCTGCTTCTGCCCGCCCCCCGTCCGCTTCGGTGCATTGCTGCCCCACTCCTCTCTGCCCGCCGCTCGTTCTGTCCACACCCTCCATCCCCGCGTTCCCTCCTTCGTTCGCCTGCCCTCCCTCTGCCTGCGCCTCCCCGTCCACCCTCCTCTTCTTCCCTGCCTCGCCCTTCTCCGCCCCTCCTCTCTCTCCCTCCCCCGCCCTCCTCATCCTCTGCGCCTGCCTCTCCAGCCGCTTCGCCTTGCGCACCCCCTTGCGCCGCCGCCTCTCAGCGAGCGCCACCAGCTGCTGCTGCACAGCGGGGTCCAGCTCCTCCTGCAGCCGCGCGTCCGCTGGCGCCTGGCGGGCGGCCAGGGGGGAAGAGGTGAGCGAAGCATGGGCGTGAACGGTTGCACGAGGAACACACAACGCTTGTCATGTCGTACAGGCCCAGCAACTTGTGCGCCCCATCATCTCCCTGCAATGTGGGGGGACGGAGAGGGGGGAGAGAGCGAGGGGGAGAGGGGTGGGGGGAGGGAAGGGGAACGGGGGGGGAGAGAGGGTGGGGAGATAAAGAAGGGGGGGGGTTGGGAGCGGGGAGAGGGGGGAGAGGAGGGTGGGGAGGAGCACGGAGGGGGAGAGAGGGAGAGAAGGGAGAAGAAGGGGAGGAGAGGGAAGGGGAAAGAGGGAAAGTAGAGGGGTGGGAGGAATTGGGGATAGAAGGGGTGAAAAGGGAGAAAGGTGGAGGGGAGGGAGTCGGGAGGTAGGGGGAGGGAGGGACGAGGGAGGGAGGGGAGAGGGAGGGGGAGCGAGGGGGGAGAGAGGAGGGGATAGAGAGGGGGAGGAGTGAGGGGGAAGAAAAGAAGAGAGGGGGGGAGCGGGATGAGTGATAGAGGTGGGAGCAAGAAGGAAGAAACGGGGGGAGGGGGGGCGAGAAGGAGGAGGGGAAAGAGAGGCGGAGGAGAGAAAAGGGTGAGAGATTGTGGCGGCACCACCTCTACGAGCGGTCTACCTCCTTGTGCACGGATGTGAATGGCAGACAGGTGATGCAGGTGAGCAGGGGGCAGGTGAGCAGGGGGCAGGTGAGTGGCCGTGCACTGCCTGTGCACCGCACACGGCGCCTTGTCCCCTGAGAGCCCAGCCACCTGTGCAAGCCATTGCAATGAGGGGGGAGGGGTGGGAGGGGAGGATAACAGAAACGAGAGGGAGGGGGGGAAGGGGGGTAGACTGAGAGGAGAGGACCTGGGGAGAGGGGAGCGAGAGACAGATGGGAAGGAGTGGAAAAGGAGTGGGAGACAGATGGGAGAGAGGGGGAGGAGAGGGGGGAGAGGGAGTGGGAGAGGGGGGGATTCTAGGGAAAGGGAAAAAGAAGGAGTAAGGGAGGGGAGAAAGAGGGGGGAGGAGTGTGACGGGGGCGAGGGGGGAAGAAAGCGGGACAAGAAGGGGATACAGGGAGGGAGGGAAAGAGGGACAAGAAAGGGGAGGATTGGGACGTGGGAGGGAGGGGGGGGAGAAGGGGGGTATAGGGAATGGAGGAGAGGGAGGGGATGTTAGAATATTCTCCCTTCATTCTATAAGCCTACATTGTTTCATTGTCTTAGGTACTTATAAGCACCCCACCAGGTGTTATAATATATTATTATATACAACATGCATGACTAGAATAGGAGGTGTAGTCATTTAAGTTATTGGGGGGTTGTTGGTTGGGATCACCAACCACAACTTGGTTGGTCAAGATTGGATTTGGCCTTGGTCCTTTGGTTAGCACTTTCCAACCGAATGGTCCCGAGGCTCCACCAATTAGCAACCACCACACTTTGGGGTTGCTTCCCCTCCAAGCTACCTCGCCCATTGGCCACTATAGTAGCCAATAGGAATGCCTTCCGTTCCAACCTTTCCTTGCTCCTTGGTTGTACTATAGAGCCTCTTGGCTCCCATTCTAGCTAACTCTCTCTCTCTCTAATGTTACTTCTCTCACCAGGGTGTATACACCCAAGTTGGGGGTTGGGTTCCCAACCTTGTTGGGTTCCCAAATTGGTTGGGCTCCCAATTATTGGAACCCCCGATTATCCCAACCAAGATTATTGGACCCACCAATAATCTTGGCTAGGATTATTGGACCCCCAATAAGTTGGCCAACTAAACTTATTGGGGTCACCAATAATCGTGGTCACCTCCCAACCAAACTCCCCCTCCTGCTCCTCACCTATGTATACCCGCTCCTTTCCTAATACAAACATCACTTCAGTTTATCACAGGGAATAGATAGGGGGAGAGAGGGGAGAGAGGGAGAGAGGGAGAGAGGGATGAGTGATGGATTGGGGGAAGCAGAATGAGAAGCAAAGGAGGCCATGGCCAAGTGAGGCGAGCAAGAGGGGTGAGCAAGAGAGGCGAGATATGCCCCCACATGAGCCCACATGAGCCCAACTGACCCATATACGCCGAAGTGCAGAGCCCCACCACGCCCAGATGCCCACCAACTCACCATGGCCTCGCCCTGCCCCTCGCCCCCGTTGAGCATCCACTCCATGAACTCTTGTTCAACCGCCTCCTCGTCCAAGCTGCCTGCCTGCGCCCGCTGCCACAGATGGGCGCCGTTCAGCTGGGGGGGGGGCACGGGGAGGGCGTCATGGACGGGCATGGGAAGGGAGGCATAAAAGGTGGGCGGTGGGTGGTAGTTGGGAAAGGAGACGAGCTGCGGGAAACCGTGGGCAGAACGGATGCGAGAAGGCAGCAGGGAGAGGCACGTGCATCAAGAATGGCAGCGATGGCAGGGCATGGCAGCGATGGCAGGGCATGGCAGCGATGGCGGGGCATGGCAGCGATGGCAAGACATGGGAGCAACGGCACGGCATGGCGGCGATGGCAGGGCATGGCAGCAATGGCAGGGCATTGGAGCGATGGCAGGGGATGGGAGCGATGGCAGGGCATGGGAGCGATGGCAGGGCATGGCAGCGATGGCAGGGCATGGGAGCGATGGCAGGGCATGGCAGCGATGGCAGGGCATAGGAGCGCCAGCAAGGCATGGGAGCGATGGCAGGGCATGGGAGCGACGGCAGGGCATGGGAGCGATGGCAGGGCAAGGGAGCGATGGCAGGGCATGGCAGCGATGGCAGCGCATGGCAGCAATGGCAAGGCATGGGAACAATGGCAGGGGATGGGAGCAATGGCAGGGCATGGGAGCGATGGTAGGGCATGGCAGCGATGGCAGGGCATGGCAGCGATGGCAGGGCATGGCAGCGATGGCAGGGCATGGCAGCGATGGCAGGGCATGGCAGCGATGGCAGGGCATGGCAGCGACGGTAGGGTCTGGGAGCGACAGCAGGGCATGGGAGTCATGTGTTTAGACATGGTTAAAATGCAATGCGATGCGATATCGCATCGCATTTTGTCATATCGCGCGTGATATCGCAGCAATGCGATATCGCATCGCTGCAAGATTCTGTTTCAAAATTTGAAATCGCATATCGCGATTTAGTGTGCGATGTTAAAAAATATCGCACCCTTAAATGCGATATATCGCGCGATGCGATTTAATATCGCATCGCGTGTTTAGGGGACCGAGGAGAAAATCAGAACGACAAGGCTGGCTTTCCTAGGTGCGCAAAGAATTAGGTGAGTGAAGTTTGAGGGAGAATGAGACATCGTGGCCCCTCTCCGATGTGAGCATGTTAGAGGGGCAGGGGTTGGATTCTGTAGATGCGGAGGAATTTAGTGCGGTTGAAGTGGTGGAAATTGGTTGGATTTACAACCAATTAAATTAGTGGGGGTCGAGATTTCAATCATCCCCTTAAATCCCTTTAACCGCACACCACCACATTCCATCCACCACCGCCCATTTCAAAATTTGAGCCTCCAACCAACTCCCCTCCCTCAACCACACTGCACCCCTTTTCAAATAGAATTTCCAACCAACCCTTCCTCTCAAAGCTACTCACAAACACCTCGTCAACTAGGCCAACCCCAAACAGCCGCGCAATTTCCGCACGCCATTACAGCCAGAGAACCCTATTTTTTGCTTAGTTCAGGGCCCGCGCCCATGTCCCCCCCTCCCCTTTTGGCGCAATTCCGCGGCGCAATATGCGGATGTATGGCGCGCGATATTTTAATATCGCAAATCGCGTTTTATCGCGCTGGAAAATCCGCGATAAATGCACGATATCGCAAAAATCGCGCGATATTACCGCATCGCAGCACAGCGATTTTTTTTTTATTTTTTTTTTTTGCAATCGCAAAATGCGATAAAACGCGATGCCATGCGATATACCCATTTATTCATGTGTTACATTATATTATATATCTATAGCATGTAGTGTGTTAGTATTGTAGTGTAGATGAAGGTTGGGGTTGGTTAGGTCAACCAACTCTTGACCCCAATTGTCGAGGCTCCAATAATGTTGGCGAACCCAACACTTTTGAGCCTCCAATAATTGGTGGTCAACCTTCCCCACCATTATTGGCTCGCCCAATAAATGGTGGGGTTGGTCAACCCCTCCTTGACCTAGGATTGGCTCCTTAGGTACAAAGGTCATGTATCTTCCCTTCTCAATTTATCACTTCCTTTTCTTTCATGGTAACGGAGCATTTTCGATAGACATGAGCAACGAGGCGAGGAATTCCTCGCCTCGGAATTCGGCTATTCGAGGATTCCAGCTCGGCAAAATTCCTCGCCGAGGATTCCTCGCCTCGCCTCGCCGAGGAAACGAGGATTCGGATTTCCTCGGGTGCGGAATGGCGAGGAATTTCATTCCTCGCGGGGAATTTTTCCCTCGCGAGGAAAAATTCCTCGCGTCATTTTGTTCCAGCGCACCTCGAAGCGCGCTGGTACAAACTCAAAAAATGTGGGTTGGCTGATCCATTTTTTCAGGATCAGCCAAGCCTAGCAGTTTCGTTTTGAGGTAGTGTAAAGACTACGCGGGCTCCTATGAGCTAATGTTTGCCATTTCGTTAGCTTAAACTCAATTCATGGGGGGGGGTTGTTGACTTGGCGACACTAGGGATAGTGTTAGGGGGATTTGCTGAAGCAAAAAACAGCATTGGGAGGCAAATAGGTCTGTAGGGCCCAAGCACGCCTGTTCAACAGCCAGCAAGCTCCAGGCCCGGGAGGAATGGGGGGCCGCTCAACACGTGGTGGAGGGAGGGGGAAGAAGAGGGGCCGCGGTGCTGCTGCCCGCGGCGGAGGGGAAGGGAGGGGTGGTAGAAAGGGAGAGGGGGAGGGGGATGACGGGGGATCCGCGCCCACGGCAACGCAGCAGCGTCATTTTAAGCTTGCTGCCGCCGAGGCCGACCTTGAGAAAGCGCGAGAGGCCGCGCGTGATGGGGCTGGGAGGAAGGGTGGCGGCCTGATGTGTGCAGGGATAAGTGGCGCCAAACAGTGCGGGAAGGGGGCTGGTGACGCTCTGCGAATCTGCAACAATGGAGGGGAGGGGGAGGAAGAGAATGAGGAGGAGGAGGGGGGGGAAGGGGGCGCGGAGGAGGAGGACGAGGCTGAGAAGGGGGAGGAGGAGGAGGAGGAGGAGGAGGAGGAGGAGGAGGAGGAGGAGGAGGAGGAGGAGGAGGAGGAGGAGGAGGAGGAGGAGGAGGAGGAGGAGGAGGAGGAGGAGGAGGAGGAGGAGGAGGAGGAGGAGGAGGAGGAGGAGGAGGAGGAGGAGGAGGAGGAGGAGGAGGAGGAGGATGCGTATGACGTGCTTGCTGGTGGGGATGGTGATGTGATGGGGGGAGAGAGAGCATTAGCGGGGATGACAGCGAGGAAGAGGTGTACGAGGGGGCCGAAGGGGAACCGGAAGAGCGTGAGGAGGAGGATTTGGCCGACTTGGTGTCTGATGATGGAGGGGACGGGGTGGGGATGAAGAGGAAGGAACTTTTGAGGGCCATAAAGATTGAGAAGGGTCAGGAAAGTGGTAAGAGGACAAAAGTGAATGCGGGGCAGAAAGCAATCACCGCCAAGGCTAGTGGAGGGGGTCCCGGCAGGCGGGCGGGCACTATTGCTTGGGGTGGGGGGGCTGGCGGGCAGGAGAGTGCCCGCGCTAGGGGTGGGGGGGCTGGCGGGTGGGCGAGCGCCACAGGGGAGGGGGTGGGCGGTGCGTGTACTGGCAAGCTAAAGTCGGGGAAGGCAGTCAAGGGCGATGGGATGGCAGCGAGATGCTTCGAGCGTCGCCTCGAGCTCGGTATCAAGCGCCGCTGCAGGATGTGTAGTTGTCCCATCACTTGGTAGGGGAGCTCTACCACTGCAGGGCGTGACCACATGAGGACCAAGCATCGTGCGCATTGGGACATATGGGTGCGCAAGTGGGAGGCTCAAGAAATCGGCCCGGATGAAGTGTTTCCCGAAAAGGGCTTTGGGGAGCCAGGCGAGGTGCCCAATGGGAAGGCGGTATGGCCAGACTCGGCTTGGTGGCCTGGGGATCCGCCGCCGGAGGTCGGGGGAGAAGGGGGACGGAAGGGGATGAAGAAATACTACTCTGCACGCATGGACAAGGATTATCTGCAACAGATGATCGTGGAGTACATCGTCGACTCCGACTCAGCCTTCAGCACCACAGATCGCCCATCGGTAACCCTCAACCCTCAACTCAGCGCGTACTTGGCCCATGCCAGATATGTGTCATGTGTCGTGCACTTAATCCATCTTGTGTGGCCAGGTGGCCAATGGCAATGGATACATGCGACGCCCGAATTTCACGCATGCTACCATGCCCCTGTCCTGTATCCTTGCACCGCCCTTCTCCACAGTTTCGCCGCATGATGGCAGCTGCCAACCCCCTTTGTGCCGACCCTGGGGTCATCCCGGGGCGGCACACAGTTGGCCGCGACTGCATCCGCCTTGCGGATCTTGCGCGTGCGATATTGAAGGAAGAGATCGCGGAGGCCAAGGGAGTCGGGATGATCAGCCTGACCACTGACATCTGGACAGGGGAGAACAGTCGTGGGTACATGGCCGTCACAGCCCATTGGCTCACGGCAGAGTTCGACCTCAGGCAGGGACTGCTTGAGTTCGTTGCACTACCGCCCAGCCACACGGCCCAGGTGATTTCGCAGGTGCTGGAGGCTGTAGCGCGCGACTGGGGACTAGAGGGGCGACTGATGGCAGTGACCACGGACAACGCCGTTACCAACACTGCGGCGATGCGGTGGTTGTCTTGTGGCAACGCTGGCGGGCGTGTTCCTCCTCTATTCAAGACGGGACTTCACATCCGGTGAGATTCGACACTCACCATACTCGGCGTTCAGCCTGTGGCGCTCGAACCTTTCCTTGCCAATGGCAGTCAGTCAGACACTTTCTATTGTTGCACCCCTTTTTCAGATGCCTTGCACACATATGCAATCTTGCAGTGCAGCAAGTGTTGAAGATTGTGGAGCCATGCAAGCTGCCCCTGGGGTTGCTGCGTGAGCTGGCTAGCTTCATCGGCTTCTCTACCAAGCAGACACTGCTGTTCGAGGATGAACAGCGGCGCCAGTATCCAGACAGGCCTACCATCAAGCTGAAGCAGGACATGGAGGTGCGATGGGGCTCTACATACACCATGGTTGCGCGCGCCCTGCGCCTGCGCGAGGCGTTGGACGCCTTCGTGCGACACTTCCCGGTAAGCATGTCTGTAGCTTTATAAATATTGCATTGGTATGGTCCGTCCGTCCTCGTGTTAGTACTTGAACGGGCTGAACGCGCTGTTTGCAATGCACACTCCCACTCCCTTGTCTGTCTATTGTCAATTGCCCATACGCCCCCACTCCACATGCCTCCACCCGCAGGAGGCCGGCCAGGCGCAGCTTCGCATCACGCCCGAGCAGTGGTGCGTGCTTGAGGAACTGGCAGTGTTCCTGAAGCCGTTCCATTCCGTGACGCTCGCGGCCGAGGGCGGGCATTATCCCACCGTCAGTCGTGTGGTGCCACAGTTTAACGAGCTGATGGACACGCTCGAGCGTCTGCGCGACCGCCGTCTCCCCCCCCCCTCCGCCTTCATGAAGGAGTGTTGCGAGGCAGCGCTCCCGAAGCTGGAGGAGTACTATGCCTCCAGCAGCGATGAGCTATGTGTCGCCACATTCCTTGACCCCTCATTCAAGCTCGGCTACTTCGCCAAGCCGCACGGTGGCATGTCTACGCGAGTGGTCAAGCAGGTGGAGCTCGGTGCGGTAGTTGCCTTGGTGCGCAAGGCATGGCATCCCTACATGGACAAGAATCGAGAGGCACAGGAGGTGGCCGAGGGGTTTGGAGAAGAGGTGGGAGAAGGGGGCAGGGCGAAGGTGGACGACGACGATGACGATGCAGCACTGGGGGCCGCCTTCGGGGGGGGAGATGAGGAGGAGGACAGCCTGGTGAGGCACCTAGCTGCCTACCGCAGCAAGCAATCCTTGGAGCTCAAGGACGAGGTCCAGGTGTACCTAGACGAGGCGATCCAGCCTTTGCGCGCCTCGCCGCTCGCGTATTGGCGGCGCAGGGTTGACCTGCCCGGCTTGCAGGCGATGGCCAGGGACTACCTTGCCATCCCCGCCTCCTCGGCAGCCAGCGAGCGAGCCTTTTCGCAGGGCCGCAACCTTATCACTTGGCAACGGCATCGGCTTGGGGCGGAGCGCGTTCGCGCATGCATGACCCTCAAGTCATGGATCGCGACGCACCCTGGCGAGCGGCTTGGCGGAGTGGGAGTCCAGGAGGTGGCAGAGTTGGGGGTGGAGCTTGAGGAGGGGTTGTGAGTTGGATGTTGAGCTGTTGGAAGCTTCGCCTTGGATTGGATGGCAGCGTTAGGGACTAGTCGATGGACGTAGCAATAAGCTTTATCGCCATCGGTTTATTGATGTAGTGAACATCCTATCGCTTCTAGATGTTTATACATTTCTGACCAATTCCCACCCTAAATTGCCAAAACGAGGCGAGGATTCCTCGCCTCGGGGCGAGGAATTTTTCCTCGGGGCGAGGAAAAAAATCCTCGCCCCCTAAACCCGAGGGTCGAGGAATTTTTTTCCCCAAAATTCCTCGGCAAGGAATCCTCGCCTCGCCTCGTTTGGGGGGCGATGGTTGGAATTCCTCGACGAGGAATCCTCGCCTCGCCTCGTGCTCATGTCTAATTTTCGATCCCCCCCTATCTGGATCCCGCTTACCCCCTCTCAAACTCACCTAGCACATCCCACGCCCACTCTCCCCGCTAACTGCGCGTCCTCCCACGCACATCCTACGCGCTGCCTCCCCTAGCTCATGGCGTTCTTTTTTAGTTGCTCTCCATCTCCTCTCACGCCACCCATGTCGAAATTTTGACATTTCTGACGGTGCGTTCCGACGCATTTGGTGCATAATCCCGCTCGTCGCCCCTCCCTCACAGGCGCGCGCCGGTTTCGTCGCGACGTCACTCTGCGCGACGCCCTCCCTCTCTCGTTACGGCCCTCGTACCGTCTCGTCGCTGCAGCATTCTGCGCGACGCCCGTCCCTCTCCCATCGAGGCCCTCGTGCCGTTTCGTCGTCACAGCTCACTGCGTGACTCCCCTCCCTGCTCCGTCAGGGCCGTCGTGCCGTTTTCGTCGCGGCAGCTCGCTGCGCGACGCCTCTCCCTGTTATGTCGCAGCCTTCGTGCCATTTCGTCGTGCAGCTACCTGCGCTCCTCCCCCGTCGCGGCTCTCGAGCCACTTCGTCACAGCAGCTCGCTGCGCGACACCCCTCCCTCTCCGCCTCGTTGCATCACACTGCTCGACGCCCCTCCCCTCTCCTCGTCTCTCGCTGCTTGCGCTCCCCTTCTCCAACGACCTCCGTCTTCCACCACGCTACCCCACCCGTCGCCCCCCTCTACGCACACCCTCCGTTGTCGGCAGTCACGCCAGCCGCGGCGGCGGCAGCAACGGAGTCGAACGCAGCGGCGTCAACAGCAGGGGCAGCAGCGGCAGCAGCAGGCGGCACCACCAGCAGCGGCAGCAGCAGCGGCGACAGCAGTAGCATCCGCGGCGACAGCAGCTGTGGCGGCAGCGGCAGCAGCGGCAGCAACAGTGGCGGCAGCAACAGCGGCAGCGGCAGCAGTGACAGCAGCAGCAGCGGCGGCGGTAGTGGCAACGGCAGCAACAGTGGTGGCGCAGCACCAGTAGCAGCAAGCGGCTGCAGCTTCAGCATCAGCAGCAGCGGCGGCGACAGCAGCGACGGCAGCAGCGTCCGCATCAGCAGTGGCAGCAGTGGCGGCAGCAGCAGCAAGGGCGGTGGCAGCAGCAGCGGCGGCAGCAGCAGCAGCGGCGGCGACAGCAGCAGCGACGACAGCAGCAGCAGCACCAACTACAGCAGCAGCAGTAACAGCAGCGGTGTCACCAGCAGCTGCAGCATTCACAGCAGCAACCCCCTACCCTCGCCATGGCGACAGACAGCACCACCGTCGACACCAGCTGTGTTGACAAGCTTGAGCTTGTCAACACAACGACCGCCGTCAACTGGCACTCATTCTCCCGCAAGCTGCAGATGCTTCTCCGGTCTACTTGGGTCAGTGGCTACCGCCTTTCCACGGTAGTCCTCCGCGAGCCCGCGGGACTCCCTCCCGCCGAACCCGTCTCTCCCGGTGACCCGCCCCCTGCTGCTCCCCCTCCGCCTGGGCCCATCCCAGCCCCACCCGCTCCGCCCCTCTCCCACGATGATCCTCACACCTTTGCCTCACGCATTGCCACCTACAACACCTCCCGCGACACATACACCCGTAACCTCGATGCCCACGCCACGCTCATCTCGTCATACGACGCCGCCTTGGCCCTCATTCATAAGCATGAGGAAGATATGGCGACCTACGCCACAGCCGTTGCCACCTTCGACACCCGCAGTGAGGCCTGGTCAACTGCAGATATGAAGGCACTCGGCATCATCTTTGCATGCCTCCCCCCCTCCCTCAAGCGCGATCTCGACCCTGAGTCCTCCTGGGCTCTTTGGACCTTAGTTGGGCCCTTACGCCCAGACAGCCGCGTAAACGTAACGTTACGCATAACGTTACGTTTACGTTTACGTACGCGTAATTACGCGTACGTATTTCCGGGCACGGAAAAAAAAATCGCCGGGTAAAAATCCCGAAATCTTCGAATCGCGGGCTAATGTCCACTGCTCGAGTATTAACAAAAACCAGCACGTCGAAATCGGTCAGGAGATCGCCCTACGTTATGCCCGCGATTTGCATAAGCTATGTGGAGGAGCGGCTCTGGGTTCATAGACTTCTAAGGAGTTAGACGGGTAAGTCGTTCTAGACTTGCGGAAGGGAGGTGGCGAGACAAATTAGGTATGACGAGATGGGAGATGGGGAGGCAGGGGGTTGGCTATGCGCGTTACTTTTGTGGGGAAGTGGGTGGGTGTTTCGTGCGTTGACTGGCAAAAGATTGACGACGGCCAAGTCAACGTTGCCACCTCGCCACCCAGTTTCGTTAGTCCCTCGCTGCGAAGTTACGAAATTGGGAGGAAAGTCGCAAATTGGGGATCGGCCAATCGTTGGCCACTGAATTTCTGCACATTCGTCGCAGCAGCAATCCACGCGCTTTCGCGTGGATCTTCGACCAGGTGGGTTGCGACGGAACTTCTCAAATTGCGGCTCGTCGTAATCAGCGCACCTCTTGAATTTTAGATCGCTACTTAAAACGGCAGAAACTTGGCTAATCTTCAGCGCAATTTTCTGCCGTCTAGCTCTCCAAGAACACTCTTTTTAGCTTCCTTCTCTACCAATTTGCTAATGGAGCAGAACGCCGAGCACGCTATTTGGCGTTATTTTGAGGTTCCCGAAGGCGGGAAGTCAGATTCTAAGATTCCTAAGACGTGCCTTTTTTGCCGCGGGAAGTG